ATTCTTAATAATACTGCTATCTAATACTTGATAACCAATTCTTTTTGAATAGTTATAGGAAATAACCAGTTTGCTTAAAATAAAGGCAGTTTTTCTCCCCACTCCCTCTTCCCTGTCCTCCGCTAATCACAAAACAAGTGTGATGAAAAACAGTAGGCTGAAAAATGGTTACCAGGGTGGATCTGGCTTTTTTCTCTGAATCAGAATGGCTGCAGTTTCTTGGGTTCATTATTGCTTCTTTCAACTGTTCAGAAACCAGCCATTATGATGAATTTTTAAAAAGGGAAATTAGAAAAATCAGTGAAGTTCATTTTTCAGCCTAGCACTTTGACATTAAATGAATTTAGTGTTTGTGGTCAGTGTCTGTGGACTTAATATGTTTTAGGTGCAAAATGTTTGGATATTACTCTGTGGAAGGACTATAGTTTGGAAGTATTTAAAAAGGTCTGACAATAACAGCAACAATGCCTTTTCACTAAACCTGAAATTTCCAATATAACTTTTATTACTAAAATCAAATTTTAGTCAAAGTTTAACAGATAATGGCAGTGATAGGATAAAAACAACATGACGGAGGGTGAACAGTACAAAGAACATACGAGATTTGGAACCATTTATTGGCCATATGATCTTGGCCAATAATCATTAGATCTTTCTAAACCTTGGGTGTTTAAACTTCAGCTGTTATTAGTACTTCATACGAATGTTTTAAAGATTAAATTATGTGAATGATCTTTGCAAAGTATGATATAAACAAAATTATAAATAAATACATGTTTGACTCTATGAAAAAAATTGAGGTTTCGTATTTGTTATTCTGACCTCTGTATAATCTATATAAGACTTAAAAAATGTTTTCTTATGACATTTAGCACATTACATAGAAACACAACACACAGTTTGCTTCCCCTTGTGTGTACTGTGTGTATGTGTGTGTGTGTGTGTGTGTGTGTGTGTGTGTGTGTGTATAGGAGCTTTTTAACATAAATTATACCATTTTATGGCATAGTTCCAAAAATGGTCTATACAGTGCCCTTAAAATTTTTTAAAAAAGGATATTCTTATTTGGTTTATAGTCATACAATTTTATGCCATTTAAGAAAAACACATTGACAGTTTTAAGTAAACTAAATACTTAACCTCCCCACCCCCAAACCCAGCATTAACAGATCACACCATAGCAACAATTTACCAAAGAGATACTACTATGGTTTGTTTAGTATGGTTGGTTCACACATTGTTGTAACATACAGTATTAACACAATATGCTAGAATCACCATTTATCAAATTTCATCAACTTTAAAAAAAATGGATGAAATCACTTCTCACAAAGATCACGCTAATACATAAATGACTCAATTACACCTAAAGTGAAAATTCAGATTCACAAAACCAAAATTATCAGATTAAATGTTTTAATTAATTGCTCCACTAGTCAAAATATACATTTCCTATTATGATAAAGGCCTTTAAAAACTACCCCCTTTTCTGAATGGAAGGGATATAAGACTAAACCTCTGGACAAATAATCTCAATATGACAAAATATTTCTGTATTATTCAAATGCAGTGCTATCATTTTAACAATTTCTCTAGAGTCCAAATTTTAGCATCCTCCCAACCTAATCTCTTTCTACCACAAAACCAGGAATCAGAACATACTCCTGTTTTTCAATAGGTATAGTCATCTCTTATCTATGCTGTGCAAAAGCTACAACCCTTCTTTTCCCAGCTATCCACTAATGCCAAACAGAAGTGTTTGGGTTATCCCTGAATTTTGTTTCTCACTCCTGAGCAACTTAATATGGCTCCATCAGGCCTCTTTTGTATTAAAAAAATCACAAAATTTTATGAATATTGTTTTAAATTATAGTCATTTCTTCTGGGACCAAAAGGGCAATAACTTTTTAATGTGACAAAAATATACCTTACTATCAGCTACAGCTCACAGCAGAATTTATTTGATTTTGATTTGCTACAAGTTTATTAAACTATAAAAATTTAAAGATAAAATTAACTTGAACATTCTGTTTAGGTAACTACTCAGAGCACTCAAAGATGAAATGATGAACCATAATAATTAAGCCATGGTCAAAATGAAAAGTAAGGTTTAACTTTTTTATGTCTTGCTGAGGTCAATTAGCAGTATTAGAAATATGACCATTTGGATTTCTTGAGTAGAAATATGTGGCATCTTAGTGACTAGAGGGAAGCAACATGTACATGTACACGTTATAACAATCTGAAAATATGATAGAATTTTCAAAGATGAAAAGAAACATACAGAATACTAAACTTAAAAAGTCTTCACTTGACAGATAAAGTAATTGCGGCTCAGAGGAGTTAAAGGGACTTTCCTAGGACACATGAGAGTTATTGGCAGAGCCAGCACGACAGCACAGACACCTGCTTAAACTCTGCCAAATTGCTTCTTGTGTTAAAAGAATCAAGAGATCACAAGGCAAACACTCCTATCACTCCAAACTTTTCCAACCTTCCCCTATTCCCTGGCTTATAAAGCTGAGTGTGCAATAAGGCGTTGGTCCTGTTTTAGCATTTCATATACAATTTTCAAATCACCTTAGCATCTAATTAAATTTAACAAATACCCACTGGTTCTTTCTAGCTATTTCATTAATCCGTTTCCATTCTGCAGAGTGATTTTTCTACTCTTTCACAATCCCATTATAGATCAGTGAAAATTCTTAGAGGAGAAAGAATCCTATTTCCTCTTCTTACAATCAATTTGAAGAATGATATATTTATGGCAGATTCAAGGCTTAAATCTTATTTCAATTTATTCTTTCCCGTATAAGAAAATCTGAGTCCTTAAGTATCCTTCAAAGCATTTTTAAAACACGTATAATGAGGATTTGGGGACTAGAAAGGGCCTTATATATTATTGAACCCAGCACACTCATTTTGCAATTCAAGAAACCGAAGTCTAGCAATGATAACTGACTTATCTAGGGTTCCATAGGTAGCAAGCAGGTAAGAATTCTGGTCCCTTCATCTAGACCAGTACTATTTTTACTACCCATTCTGTGAACCATATTTGGTATGATAGTTTACTCATCTGACACCATTCTGTGCTTTTATTGCAAAAGTCCAGGTTTTGTCTCTATCTGAAACTGTAGCCTGTAATAATAATTCAGATAAGGGATTAAATATACTATAATGCTTAAAGTTATGTTATTGTTTTACAAAGGTAGTTTTTGTGTCTATTTTTCTAACACCTACTGATCCTTACTAAAACATCAGAATGTCTAACCTCCTTTAACACAGTTGATCGGTTTGTTTCAATCATCCCAAGAGCTGATGTAGATTACTTTACTGCTACCCAGGCTGTGATTATCACTTCTGAGGACTGGGTTGTCTGCAATGGACTCAGGGCCAGTGTCTCTACTAAATAGGCTAACACAGAACAAAGACAAGGTGGTGGCTATATTTCACTTTAATCACAAATCATCTAGACTGGAGGTTCTAGCTCAAACCTGAGATAGTTATCATTCCTTTATTTCATTTTTTCTATAGTGATTTGGTCTCAAAGTTTGCCCAAAAAGAAATTACCAGAAGATTGTGAAAAATTCCTTGTAGACATTGCCTCAAAGAAAGTTACTTGGATTATATCTCCTATCCATCCGTTTTGCTGCTAGTAGGTATAAGATTGTTTTGGTTACTGATTCTTATACATATATTAACAATGAAATTCATCACCTGTAGTCCATTCTATAGGGCATCAAAAAGTTTATGTTCTTGGCTTTGCTACCAAAATATTTGTATCATAACTGAAATTCTACAAGTGCTCTTATTATAACTTAGCATTGTTATACATTTAAATAATAGGAGATTGGTTATTTATGTATTTGTTCAGGTATATTTTAAAAGTAAAATATGGAAATGAAAAAAGTCTTCTATATAGTAAATGTTCACAGTTTGACTTTCCATAAGGCTTATGAAATAATATACAAATAGCTACCATTCTGCTGAAATATCACAGTAAATACATTAATAATGGCACAGAAGTGAAATGTCCCCAAATGGGAAACCATCTTCATGACATCCTACATCTCTTTTCTAACTAAAACTTTTTTAATTGAAAAAGAATTCCATTTCTAAAAGAATATAAAAATAGAAAATGAAACTTTTACGTACATAATTTTGAAGGAAAAGCTATAAATATTAGATGAACTATTATATATATCTTTAAGAATGTGCTTTGTCTCACTGCGCCAAACATTCCATGAAAACTAAATTAAGTGAATATATTATATATGAACTGTTGAAAAGTATAACTAAATGTTAAAATTTTAGTTAAGCTAGACCACTTAAACATATAAGTACTAATATATTTTTGTAAAATTAAGCTCAGCTAAAACTTATCTGTAAGACTAATTTACAAATCTATCATTTTGAAAAAAAAGAATATTCAATCAAGCAAGGCACATTTCTTTTAGGCAAATCTGTCTTTAATACCATTCATTTGGGCACAGTGTAGATTTCACTTATTTATGTGTAAATGGGCTAATCTATGCATGAGAGCCTTTGGTACAAAACACACCTTCACAAATAAAGTTGCATATAACTGAGAACACAGGATATAACATGAATATATTTCATGATTAAACACAGTCCAGTAATTAATTAAAAAAAAAAACAGTAAGAGTTGGCTGTTGGAAACAAATATTTAGGCTTTCTTCATCTGCAGCACTGATTACAGTTTTTGGACGATTAGATTTCATCAAAATGTCAGAAGGTTGAATGATACCTTAATATTTTTAATGTTCTTCTTTATCTCTTGATCAGTATCTTTTATACTACACACAGTATGAAGAGAATCCTCCAACTTCAGAGCTATTTCCTTTATATAAAGCATTTGTTTGAAATATATTATTTAATGTCGACTGAAACAAAAATAGGTGCTGGCAGACAAATCACTGCCCATCAGTGGTATAATTCAGATAAGATATTTCTCATTACTGAGAAATGCTGACAGTAAAGCATTCTTGATCCAGGCAATTTAAAACTGAGCATCCTACTGGTCAGTGCATCTCTACAGTTCTTTATGCGGGCTCTTCAGGGATCTGTCAGACAGAGTAAACACAATAATTTACTGTATATTTAGCTTTTAGAAAACTATAGACTTTATGTCAATGGAAAATGTCCTATTCATTATATTTTTAAAAATTTTGGCTTTTTTCACTGTTGCCCTGAAAAGTTCAATCAATTTAATTGTCTAAATGTATTAACTACATATTGAATGCTTTTAATTTACAACTTAGAAAAAGTTTCAGAGTATACTGAAATTATAAACTTTTCCCCATTAATAAAGACCCCCAAATTTAGTAACGTAATGCTTGCTTTTTGAATAGAAAAAATTGTCTTCATTCTTAGAACCATCTGCAAGGTTCTGAGTGCCCTCTGATTTTTCTAAAAATGTATGTATTAATTTTCTCAATGTATTCCTAAGGGTTTCTGGCTGTAAATCCTACTGTGGTAATCTATGATGAGAGCTTTTTTGAAGTAAATAGAAATCCAGTGCTCAGATAAGTTTCATGGAGAGGAAAAAAAAGAGAGAAAATCTCAAAATGACTACTATGAATATAATGTTCTAGGTGCTACAGGATGTCATGCTGTTGTTTATCTTTTCATTACAAATAACTTTCAAATCTGTTGATTCTTTAAAATATGAACTCTGCATAATTATGTACCACTTTAAGATATCACAAATTAAGACAACAAAAACTACTTGACTAGGGTCTGTGGAGAACTAAGAGATAAAGGTTAAAGGTTTGGTGTTCCCTTCTTCCCAACCACAAAAAACATTATTGAGAAATGCTAACAGTAAAGTATTTCTTATAAACAGCATAAGGCAATATAACAATTGTATTCACTGCCATATCCAGAATCTAGAATGGTGGTTTGGTACATAGTTGACACTTTATATGATGAATGGATGAATAAATTCCTACCACTCTCATAGTGCCTGACATATAAAAAGTACTCAGTAATATATGATGAATGAATAAATGCATATATAAAAATTATATTTATATGAAATTTACTAACCATATAATATAAATACTTACAAAGACAAAAAAAAAGCTATAAACCCAGCTCCAGGTTTCGATATGTGAATATTATCCATCATAATGCATAGAGAAGACTGTTTCCCATATATACCCCTGGTTTTAGTGGGTACCCAAAACCAATGGGAAATGCCCAAAGATGGTGATCTGGAATTCGAGTGTGCTTTTGATGAAAGAATCACTCACTCGTTAAATTAAATACTGTATGCCTACTGTGTTTTCGGTAGTTATCTATCTATTAAAAAGTTTTCCTCATTGGCCTGGATTATACTTGGTCACCTTGATCAAAGATATAGCTTAACACTGATTTTTATGCAAAAAGCAAGAGTATATTTGTAGTATGCTGAACTTTCATTATGAGAGCTTTAAAGATTATAATGACCTGACAGTTATTAATAATTACTAATTACAAAAAAATTACAAAGAACATGAATGACCTGGCATCCATTTTATTACCTAAGTGTCTAGGCTCTGCTCAATGCTACTGTAGTCTTGCTTATCTTGAGATGGTTGTATTAAGCTATGCTTGCCTTGTGGCTGTTCTTTTTATATAAAGGGTTGGGCCTTTTCTTTTTAACCTCATGTATCAATATCTGCCTCGTAAGTTTCTTGAGATATTAAGTAAGAATGGTATAGCATGGCATCCTCATAAATTATAGGTGTGAAGGATACCACTAAAAATAAACGTGGTATCAGGATAGTAATCATGATGTTTATATTAGTGGCTGAGAAATGAGTTGAAAGCCTCAGAAGAATGGACATTGAGTTAAGTATAAAAATCAACTCTATAAAAAGAAAGGAGGTATAATAGAAAATGGCGACCTATAACTAAAGATAATTGACCAAATATTAATAAATGTTCTAACATATAAAGAAGAGAAAAAAAGAACAAACTTTAATAATTATTAAATTTGTAAAGAAATAATTAATACCTCCTCCAAGGCCTAAATGAAAGAAGTACAGAAACCTAGCTTATTTAACTGTTAGTCTGACTAACTTGTATTTGATGAGGAAAGAATTGAAATCATTCTATAACATGTAGTTTTATGGGAACTTTGTTTTCATGTGTCTACACTTTGACATTTATTATACTAATTAGAGTTGGCTGCATACCATTAAGTTCTACAAATTCTACCAACTAACGGGTAATGAATAAGCCCGAGGACTAGAAAGATTTCTTGCTCAATTTGTACAATTCTCTGATTGAGGTCTTGGAAATCACATACTTTTGGCAAGCCAAAAATTTAAACTCACTCATTATCTAAAGTTGGAAATATGCTAAGATGTAAGCTTTGTCAAAAATCTGTTAAGTTATGGGAAAATGAGCTGTGAGGTATAATCAATACTTCTTTGAGCAGCATTTAGGTTTACTAATAATAAATATCCTCAATTTACATAGTTATACACTAAAATAAACTGCTCTTTTGGAATCAGTTAAAATGTTTCCAGGTAAAAGACCTACAAGATCTAAGTATAAAGCAATTCAAATATAGTTCTTACTCAAAAAATTATTTCTTTCTGTGATTTTTGGTTACCCAGTAAATTTTGCCCTTCAGAAATCTGATATATTGTCACTCTTGTTTAACATGCTTTTCATCATAATTTCTTATGGAAGTAGTATATTTGTGATTATCTGATATTTTATTGTTCTGTAGTCAGACATGAGGTAAATACAAAATGTAATGGTACATGAGGCTGCCTCTTAAATGTCTAATACCTTTACTAGCCCAAGTTATAATGGAAAATCTGGTAAAATCCATATTAAGTAAAATAATAGAAATAATCAATGTCATAATCCCTGATCCCAAACCAGAAAAAAATGAAAAAATGAAAAATATTCATTTGAATTCTCTATTTTTTGTAATTTCTTTTAAAAGTCCTAATAATGTGTTCTCGAAAGGGAGAAACAATCTCTGTCCTACATGGGCTTAACTGTATGAAGTGATGGAAGGAGAAAAGACTTTCTAATTTCTCCTGGTCTATATATGTAAGCTCAAGCAGAGATGTTAGTCTTTAATTTGTTGACACATTTGGTAAGGAAATTGTGTTACTTGGATATGCAGAGGCCACAGCTAGATCTGGTTTGCCTTGGAAATCTAGGGAAAGGAGAAAATTCAGCAAGGGTGTGGAGAAAGTTCCTCTGTATCCATATCAGGAGAATCCTCATTTCCTACTGCAGAGGAAAGTACATCAGTTATAATATTACCTAAAATCATGGAAATAACTGCAGTACTCACATCAATGCTTTAATTAGTTTCGGTCATTCCATACTATTTGTGTCAGTTTTTCAAAGCTGCTGGGAATCTCCCAATACCAACATATGCTACTGGATTACTTCTCACCTTTCATTTTATTATTTATAATAGAAGTGGTCTAAGTTTTGCCATTTTATAAAAGTCACTCTAAGAATCTGCTTTTATTTTTCATGGATTAAATGTCCCCATCTCCTTTCATGTATGAACAACCACTTAAAAAAATAGCTGATTTTTGCTGGGTGTGGAGGTTTACACTTGTAATCCCAGTGACTTGAAAGGCTGAGGCAGGAGGATTGCTTGTGGCCCAGGAGTTTGAGACCAGTCTGGGCAACACAGTGAGACTCCATCTCTAAAAAATTAAAAAACAAAAATTAGCTGGGCATGGTGGGACATCCCTGCAGTCCCAGCTACTTGGGAAGCTGAAGCAGGATGATTGCTCGAGCCCAGGAGTTCGTGGCTACCGTAAGCTATTAATATGATTGTGCCATTGCACTCCAGCCTGGGTGATAGACTCCGTCACTAAAATACTAAAACTGGCTGGGTGAGGTGGCTAATGCCTGTAATCCTAGCATTCTGGGAGGCCAAGGCAGGAGAATCACTTGAGCTCAGGAATTCGAGATCAGCCTGAGCAAGAGTGAGATCTCGTCTCTTCTAAAAATAAAAAAATTAGCTAGGCATTGTGGCATGTGACTATCAACCCAGCTACTTGGGAGGCTGAGGCAGAAGGATCGCTTGAGCCCAGAAGTTTGAGGTTGCTGTGAGCTAGGCTGATGCCACAGCACTCTATCCCGGGCAACAGAGTGAGACTCTGTCTCAAAATAAATAAATAAATGAATGAATAAATAATAATAAAAAAACAAAAATAAATAATAATAAATAATAATAAAAAAACTAAAACTAAAAAAGAGAAAAAATAGCTGATTTTAAAAACTGAAACAATAATCACTTCTAGAATTAGGTTATTTTGTAAAAGAAATGATTTTATCCAGTAAGGCAGTATCTACAGTGATATAGTTCTTTATTGTGATTTACTGGTGAAATCTCTAGTGTCTGATTGAATCAGCTTCCATAGTAATGAAGATGCCTTGGATTTTTAGCACTCATCATTAACTGAAACCAGGACTGAACTTACAGGGAAGTTTCTTAGAATTTCTTCTATATAGATAAGTCCCTTGGAGATATCATTTGCTCTGATTTTGCTGTGCCACATGGGTCAATGAGTCAACAGATATATACTGAGTATCATTTATAAAGAGCACTCTGTTAGCCATTATGTAGGAAGCACAGTCTGTGTGAAGCAGTCTAACTTTCAGGTATCCTTGGTGATATCTCATATAATGTTATATTTAAGTTATTTACATTAAGGAATTCCATACCCATAACCGGGTATTACTTCTTGTGGGAAACTTGTTGGGGCATGTTTGACCAAATGGGAAGCCTTCTCCAGTAAACTGATTACAAGGAGTCTTATCTATAAAAGCATGGTGACGAGTATAAGCCACATATGGATTAAAACAAAGTACAGATGCCTGACCTGAAAATTTTGTTTATATGTTAAAAACAACTCAAATTGAAATGCAATTTCCTTCCTCTCATCTCTCTGTCCAATAAATACTTATTGAGCACCAACTGTATTCCAGATACTATTCTAGGTCTTGGGGGATATAGCACAGTAAACAGACAAAAATCCTTGTACTCATGGAATTGAGAAGAGAAAACAGACAATAAACAAAGTCTATAAAATATCTAATGTGTTAGAGGAAAAATTAAGCAGAGAAAGGAAGAGAGTGTTGTGGGGGTTGCAATTTTTTTTTTTTTTTTACACATGACAGATTAGCTAATTTATTCTTCACAAGAGTATTGTGGCATCTTTCTTCAGAACTATGTGCAGTCAGATTACAGTTGAGATGGCAAGGTCATAATAAAACAGATACTATTAGGATTTTATAAAAGTATTTTTACATGAGGAATTATGGGCAAGCATTCAGAGAATGTGCGTAGAATACTTTTGTGGAATATGAGATAACAATTTTGGTGTCTTGCCATCCTACAAAATAGAATTTCCTTTTTTTTTTTTATTTCAGCATATTATGGGGGTACAGATGTTTAGGTTACGTATGTTGCCCTTGCCCCCCCCTTCCCCCCCTAAGTCCGAGTTTCAAATATGTCCATCCTTCGGGTGGTGCGCATTGCACTCTTTGTGCTGCAATTTTGCATAGTGTGGCTAGCAAAGGCATCAATGAGAAGGTAACACCTGAAGTACGTGATGGAGTGAGTCACGCAAATATCAGAAGCCAGAACATTCCAGGCAGAGGGAACCACAAGTATAAAGACCCTGAGGTGGAGCATGCCTTGTGTATTTGAAGAGAAGCAAGGAAGCCAGTGCGGCTGCAGCACAGGGTCTGATGGGCAAGGAGTCAGAAACAGGTCAGAAGCGTAAGGGGGGAAAATTAGGTAGGGCCTTGCAGGCCATTGTAAGGCCTTTAGTTTGTATTCTATGTGAAATGGGAAGTCAAATGGTGTTTCTGACACATGGGAGTAACACGACCTGACAAGTGTTTTAAAAGGAGCCCTCTAGCTGTTATGTTGACTAGACTCAAGTAGGGGACAGGATGGAAGCTGGGGGACCAATCAGGAGGTTACTGTAAAAATCCAGGTGAGAGAGAATGATGGCTTAGATCGGGTGGTAGCAGTAGGAGTGGTAAGTAGTGGTAAGGCTCTCAAAACATTTTAAAAGTAGATACAGGATTTGCCAATAGAGTGGATAAAGGGTATGAGAGAAAAAGAAGAATCCAAGGATAATTCCAAGGATTTTAGCTTGAGCAACCGGAAAATTGAAGTTGCCAGTAGTGGAGAGGGGGAAGAGGGCAGGAAACAGAGGCTTAATGAGTGGGGGATGAGGAAGCAGGGAAGCTTAGTTTTAAACATAATTAAGTTTGAAATGTCCATTAGATAACCAAGCAGAAAAGTCAAGTATACAGGTAGAAATTCAATCAAGAGTTCGGGGGAAAGATCTAGGTGAGAGATACAAAGTTACATGTAGACAATCTAAAGCTGCGGTCCCCAATCCCTGGTCCATGGTACTGGTCCTCAGCCTATTAGGAACCCGGCCAGCTGCACCACCGCCTGAGCTCCGCCTTCCTCCCTACTCTTCACACCCCACTTCTCTCCGCCCTCTCCCCGTCGGTGGAAAAACTATCTTCCAGGAAACTTAGGAACTGGTCTGCACAGCAGGATGTGAGCAGCGGGTGAGTGGTGGGAGAGCCAGCAAAGCTGTATTTACAGCTGCACCCCATCGCTCACATCACCACCTGAGTCCCGCCTCTCCTTCTTCCGGTCAGTGGAAAGATTGTCTCCTTGGTGCCAAAAAGGCTGAGGACGGCTAGTCTAAAGCTATGCGACTAGGACTGAATGCAGAAAAAAGAGGTCTAAGGACTGAGCCGTGGCTCCTGGGGCTCTCCAACATTACATGCCAGGGAAGATGAGAAAGAACCAGCAAAGGAGATTGAGAAGAGGCCAGAGAGGTAGAAAGAAAATCCAGGATGTGGTATCCTATCCTGGAAGTCAAATGAAGAAAAGTCTTCCTAGGAAGGGGGAAATATTCCACCATGTCAAATGCTTCTGATAGGTCACATGAAATGAGTACTGAGAAATGATCACTGGGTTTAGTTATATAAGGTCACCAGTGACCTTGACAAGTACACTTTTGGTGGAGTGGTAGGGGTGAAAGCCTGTTTGGTGCAGACTCAGGAGAGAATGGGAAGGGATTTGAAGGTGAATAAAGAGAGATATAGTCCCTACTCTATGGAAGAAATAGAAATTGATCATATAACATAAATCAATGTAAAATTACATCTATGCCAATATCACATACTATATATAATGCATTCTAAGATTTACCTGTTTAGATTTGAGCATCTATGAAATTGGGATGTACCTTAAAATTACTGGTACTTTACCCTTATAATTGGCAGTTTTTCTTTTCTTTTTAAAAATGGTATACAAAATAATGGTGGTTCTTACAATCACCACTTTAAATTTGATGAACTACTATACTGTAATGGGGGAATAATAAAACCAGAGTCATGAAAGAGGTCTTAGAGCAGGATTCCCCAACCTATGGTGAGCTGTGTAATTACTTCATTATATACTACAACGTAATAATAATAGAAATAAAGTACACAATAAATGTAATGTGCTTGAATTATCCTGAAACCATACCCCATCCTTGGTCCATGGAAAAATTATCTTCCATGAAAATGGTCCCTAGTGCCAAAAAGGTTGGGGACTGCTGTCTTAGAGGAAGTACTGAAGTAAAAATAGCAATTAAGATAAGGAGGGAAAGAGGGGGCTGCTGGAACATTTGCGACGATTCCCTTAGCTTAATACAGAGCTTATTCTGTAACTGGAAGAAGACTGAGGTGACTAGAACACAGCAAAATGAGGGGAGAAGCATAGGTAAGGAAGAGATAAGGCTGGGCATGAGATCACATGGAGCCAGACCATGTGGGGCCATGAAAGCTACGCCAAGCCTTTGGGTTTCTATCTTAAGAATAAGGAGAAGACCCTGAAAGAATTTTAAGCAGGGGTGGGTAATATAATCACATTTTAGTCTCAAAAAAGTCATTCTGGCCACCATGTGGAGAATGGGTCAGAGAGTGGCCACAGGAAATGTGAGGAGGCCAGTTAAAAGACCTCCACACTCAACCAGGATAGAGATGATAGTGTGAATTAGTGTGGTGGTGGCAGTGATACAGCAAAGTGGACTGTTTTTAGAAATATTGGAAGGCTAAATGACAAAATTTGGTGATAGGCTGAATGTATTTACTACTTCTGTGGATCTATGATTTTGTTAATAAATACATTGAGAACACTGGGCAATAAATCTACCTTTTAAGGACAGCTGGAAAAAATAGAAGTTATTTATAAATAGTTATCCTGCACATATGAATGAAAACCAATATTTTGGAAATTCACTAATTTTCAGAAAAAGAATCAGACCATTTAGATCTATAAGCAGAAAGTAAATATACTGCAGGATAGAAAGTAATCAGGGAACAAGTGAGGGGTGTGTGTGTGTGTGTGTGTGTGTGTGTGTGTGTGTGTGTAATAAATTGCCCTACTTTATCTCTTCCAAATTAAATCACGTTTTAATTTAAGGAACATGTTTAAATGTATAAAAATAAAAATCCTAGGATTCAGAGGGAATTTCTATAAAGAAATAAATAAACTTAATGGAAAAACAAATGAAATAACACTGTTGACTGATACATAATGCCCGGGTGCAATGCTAACTTCCATTCTAAAAAATTGGTGGGGATCTCAACAGAGATTCTCAAAAGTCTTTGTGCTATGGTATCAAGGATGGGTGTGTGGTTGGAGGATCAGTGGGGGAGAAAAGAGTTCTCCTTACTCCCTACTATCATATGGGAGGGTCTGATCCCTGTATCTGCAAAGTCAGAGTCCTGCACAGACTTATTTATAACATTCTTCAGAGCTGATGAAATATCATTTTTTGTTCATTTGAGTGCTATATTGCCAACCACCAGAATCCCAGGCTTTATTTTTCAGGGCAGAGTTCATATTCTGCACTACTTAGGTTACAACAATAATAACATGGCTCCCAAGAAAATGATGGTGCCTCTTTTTCAGATCTCTTCTTTAATGCATTTGATGGCTAACGGTGCAAATTTTAAAAAGTAAGGAAAGACATGTTCAGTACAAAAAAATAAAAAAGAAAAAAAACGTGAAAATGTTTCTTTGTAAAATGCATTTTTGTTTAAAACTTGGAAGAGAAAATTAGCTCATAGCATCATTAAAAATCAAGACAAATATCTGAAAACTTTCTAATCAGTCTGAATCATTTAAATTATATTTGCAAGCTAAATATGAGTATATAAAGAATACTATTATCATATGCCATACAGCAATGGCCATTTTCTGGCAGGAGGTTTGGAGCTGAGTCACCATAGTATGATTTGGGATCTGTCTGGCTTCCCCTCCCTTCTTCCTGCCTTCTGTGATTTACTTTCTTTCAAAGGCTATCAACTAATTCCTGAAGGTGTACAAAAAACAAGTACAATTAACATATATAAAATTTGACTTCTTTCCAAGGCTATCAACTGCTTCCTGAAGGTGTACAAAAAACAAGTACAATTAATATATATAAAATTGCCACCCAAAATATAGGAAATCAGTAGTACAAAACCCACAGTTTTTAGTTTTATCCTCCTTAGTTTAGAAGGCCTAATAAAAAACAGAAAGAAAAAAATCCCACCCTAAAATGCAATCCCTAAATATTTTCTTCCATGTTCTTATGCTTCTCACCTCTATTTCACAGTGTTTCCATAAGTCTTCAGATTGGGGGGGCATGTGTGCTTCTTTGTATTTCTTAGTGGGAAGGGTTATCACTTCTATTCACAGCTGAGAGTTGGGAAGGACTTGGAACCACTGTAGAAAATATTGAAATTTTAAATGTATAGAAGTCAATAAATTACAGTTATGGTTCTCAAAAGACCAGACTGTTGGTATATATTATATATATATATATATACATATATATATATATATATACAGTATTTATATACAATCAGTAAAGCAATTACTTGAGTATGTAATATGCCAAAGAGGTAAATAATAAGTTTTATATAAACAAACCATAACTTTAAATGTTTTTATACTGTGCATTTAAAATTTCAATACTGGAATTTTATTTCAAAGTTTAGAAATAACTGATATAATACTTCCTTTTATGTGTAGGTGTTTGTGGTTATGTCACCATTGTTGGCAGATATTTAAATACGGCATCATATCAGTTTAAAATACCATAAAAGAAATAAAATAATAATAATGTTAATTTCCATGCTTTTCTCTAGATTCACCGGTTGTACAACATATACATTTTTCCTCAAGGTGTTAATGGATGTACACTGATCCAGTCACAATTCCTCACATGAATCTCTTGCTACACAGACATATGTATACTTTTTCAACACCTAAGACATGCAACTGAGCTTAACAATGAAACCTGTATTTTGGCAAAGCTAACTGGCATGTGCAAACATAGATTTGTTAGCATTTTGCTCTAAGCCCCAAATCACTATCCATTTTCACTTTATAAATGATTTAGGACCTTAGAGAAGGGGCTACAGCTATTATGTGGGGCAAAATTATATTCTAATGTTTTTAGGGCACAGATATTCTTAAAGATCCATGGAGTGGTTAAGTAAGGCAATAATGTTACAAATTTCAATGAACTGGCACTCTCCTACTGTTTTCAATCCTTCTGTTCTAAGTAATTTCTTCCTTCTTAATGAGAGTCAAAATGTTTACACTATTTTTTGGAATGGTTCTTTAGTATAAGGAGATGGAAAAACAATCATTTGCATAATACTATCATCTATTGTTGATTAAAATACATGAAAACAGGAAATTAAACTTAAAACTGAAAAATATCCGTTGTCCTAGCAGGTATCAGTACTATGACTGATTATACTTTCTAAGATTAAATCCAGATAAATTAATCATCTAAGAAAACAATCTTTTATTACTAGAAAAGTCAATCTCTTCATCCGATTTAAATAACTTATATTTGATCCTTCTGGTTAAAAATATCTGATTTTCAGTATACTGAATGAAATAGGCTTCTGGAGATATGTTCTTTACATGAACTCATTAATTAGTAGCATAGGCTGAAGTTAAACCTAAAAGCATAAGAGATTTATTTTATCTTTCAAGTCACACAATAAAAGCAGCATGGGTTTTGGAGCCAGAATGACTCGACTTTAAATAATTGCTGGGTCTCTTGCTAGCTGTGAAGTCTTAGGGAAATAGCTTAATTTTAGGCATCTATTTTTTGCCCTCCTAAAATGAGGTTAATAGCACTTACCTTGCAGAGTTGACAAGTGTCCAGGACATGGCTGACCCTTTATAAATGGTAATTATTATTGTTAATATAGAAAGGAAATAGGAAGACATTGATTATTTATGTATTTCATTTTCACAAAGCTTTGTATTAATTATACAATGCTTAGGAATAATGATCACAAGTTAATCTCTTAGCAAAATCTCTGATGCATGTCATGCAATTATTTTTTCTAAGTGTTCTACCTGTGATAACATTTAATATTCACAACAAATCTACAAAGTATTGTTTATTATCCTCATTTTACAAATAAGAAAATAGAGGCACAGAGTAGTTTAGTTAAGTAATTTGCTCTAGGTCATATAGCAGAGTCAGGATTCAAACCCTGGCAATGTGATTGCAGAGTTTATGCTTTTAACCACTTTTAAAAGCCTGCAAATAACATCGATGTAAGATAATAGCCATTCACTCAAAAACTATAAAAGGTATTATATTCTGTTCTAGGCACTAGTATCCAAAACTTTATCAAGACACAACCTATAATCTTTAAGGACCTTACAATATGGCGACTAGAAGCAATTATAGTACCTCAAAGTTATGACTCAAAAGACACGACATTTCTCTGGGTTAAGGAAAAAAGGTCCCCTTCGAATTACTGCTATTTAATAACCATAAGAATCATGGCACAACCTTAACTTATAGAATCAGGGTTTCTACATCTGAATAAATGTGAATAAAATTGTCACTGTACTTTGTTTACCTTTACGTTAAGATCTTTTAAGCACAGATACAAGAATTATTTTTATGTCACTGCTATAGTGTGTCTAACATATTACCAAAATGAGACATAAAAAGAATTTCTAGTCATTAAGAATACCAAAAATTTGATCAAAAGGTAGATCAATGTTAAAGGTAACTCAAATGACAAGCAAAGGAAACTAGATAAAGGAGTCCTATTTAGATACACAGATAAAAACAAACAACCCTATGAGCAGTTCTGTATAGATTTATTGCCTCTATTTTTTGTCTTTCCTTCCTCATCCTCCTCTTATTACCTCAATCATTATCTTTCACTCTATTAAATGCATGAATAATAAAGTAATAGGCTTCTGACTACCTGAAAATACTTTATGAGCTTTAAAAATAGCGTTACTCTCATTTACTCTAGAAGGACAGAATAGTCACATGCTATCAAAACTGAAAATTGTGGATAATGTATTATTCATATAATGTATATGAAACAAAATGATTACGTTTAAATAAAATGTTACCCTTATTTCAAATTTAACCATTTTTGTTTCAAAGAACTGTACTGCTGACTACTACTAAATAATTATGTAAATTAAAATTGGACCAATAATTTAACAGCACTTGGCTGTTTATCCTTTTAAGGTGAAACAGGTTGTTCAGAAGCCAAGTGGGTTAGAAAAGGAATGGAATAAACTTCAATTCAGCTTGAGTGAAGGTTATTCTGAAGAGGAATGACTTATTTTTCATTCTTTTGCAATAAACAATGGAAACCAAAGGATAGTTAGCAACATGGAAATCAAATGAGAAAGGTGTAAATGATCTTTAAAAAGGCACCTGGCATGTAATTAATATAAAACTATTGGTTTTGCAAATATCATTGACATAGATATAAATGAAATTTCCCTGGTTCCCTATACAAAAAGATACTGCTCCCAGTAGACCACAGTGCTCACCTGATTCTGTCTCTCTTCTGGCAACCCTTGGCATATGGCTGAAACTTGCAGGTGTTCCAAGATTTGGTTACTTCCTTCCTTTTCACTGATTGCAATTCCCTCAGTTAAAAATGTGCATCTATTATATATTTGAAGTTTATTTAGCTTTTCATGTGCTGTGATGGTGACAGTGCTACTGTGGGATCTGATTTTTTTTTTTAAGAGGAAGTCTGAAGGTCCTTTGTAGTAAGATTCTGGGTACACTGAATCTCTTGTTTGCTTATGTACAGAACACTTTTACATTTTCTTTTAAATATCATTTGTTGGCTTAAAACTTCTTGGAGAAAGAAAACTGTAGAGAAGCAGCTTTTAAAATTATTGCCTAATAACTTGTATTTAATTCAGATCATGCCTTATTGTGGTATATATCCAACATTCCACACACCGTATTTTCCATTATGAGATGACATCAATGATTTTTGTAGTTTAAAAAAATGTGTTTCATGACTTTATTTGTGCGGTTTATTCAAAGAGTGGTTTTCCTTATGAAATCATGTAAGTAGGAACCATCTGGAAAGGTTACTGTGGAAACGGCAGGGCCTGGCGGGTGGGGCTAGAGAGCAAGAGATGCCATGACAACCTTTTTCGGGTTTCCCAGGAAACATGGTTGCTATGGGAACTGCATCAGTCAGGTCCGAATTAGTAACTTCCGCTGGAAGGGGTGTCTGCCACTTTAATCTTCTTGGGATACTGCAGAAGCTTATCTTTCAGATGCATTAGGAGTTGTTTTTTTTGTTTTTGTTTTTCTCCTCAGCAGCACTGAAAACATCTGTTTCTAGACTTTGATAGATGTTGACTGGCACATATCACACAGAACTTCACAGGAATCTATTCATTTAATACTTTCAAAATGCTTAGCAAGCCCCAAAGAGTTAAAGTAATTAGTCAGAAGATGACATCTTGGGCATTTCCCTTTATTCAAAATTGTAGAGACCCTTAAAATTCCAGGAGAGGGGATTCAAATAGAAAGTTCAGTCAAAACCAAATAAACTTATGGTGGGTTTACAAATCATGGTTCCAGTTAGACTTTTCTTCCACATATCCACAGGGTAGGCAATTGAACTAAATATTCAGTAAATAATGCTGAAGGGTCCATCAAACTGAAGCATCACTTAAGAATCTGTGTGCTTTACTTAGTCAAGAAACAACAGCCTTTTTAAAGTTTGCGGTTAAAACATTAACGCTAACTGTTCTTTAGTTTCATTTCCTCCCAGGATGTATTTTTTTTTTAATAGGGTGTGTACCAGAAATCAAGTTAAATGTAAGTTTGTTGTTCATAATGTAAAGAGAGAGGGAGGGGGAAAAGGAGAGCTGAAAGAATGCAGCCCACTTGCAAAACAGGCACCTGTTTCAGTATGAAGCAGTAGGGACAGGGAGAATGAAGTGTGCTTCCCACTTCCTTATGTCCTTTCCTTGATGAATGGTCTGAAAATGTATAAAACGAAGGCATACACAGACCAAGGGGGCACGTTCCACACAATACTGAGAGCACGGTATGTCACTTGTATCATATATTAAACATCGGTGAATATCTTTTTGATGTTGACACAGGAGTTGGGATTATTGTTCGTGGTGCAGGTGGCAGTGGAATTGCCCGTTTTAAAAGGGGTCTGGGGGAAAGTGCTATGGTTCATACCCCCCTCTTCGATCACCATATACTCCGACTTACTCAGAGTCGAGTTACTCCTTGCTTTTCGGAGCTCCTCAGCCGAAGAAGAGAGGTGCTGGCAACTTCCCACGTGCATGTACTGGGCTTGCTCTTCCCCTTCTGTCTCCCGGTGGTAAAAGTAATTGAAGTTGGAAACAATCACAGGAACTGGCAATGCAATGGTCAAGACACCAGCGATGGCACAGAGAGATCCCACAATCTTGCCTCCTATGGTCACCGGGTGCATATCACCATAACCTACTGTTGTCATGGTTACCACTGCCCACCAGAAGGCATCCGGGATACTGCTAAAACCTGACGTGGGGTCGTCTGCCTCGGCAAAGTAGACCGCGCTGGAGAACAGGATGACCCCAATAAAGAGGAAAAAGATAAGTAACCCCAACTCCCGCATGGAAGCCTTCAGCGTTTGTCCGAGAATCTGCAGCCCCTTGGAGTGGCGGGAGAGCTTGAAGATGCGAAAGACCCGCACCAGGCGGATGACCCTCAGGATGGCCAGGGACATGGCCTGCTGTCCGTTGCCCTGTCGCTCAGCCAGCTCGGTGCCCAGAGTGATGAAATAAGGGATGATGGCCACGATGTCTATCAGGTTCATGATATTTCGCGAGAAGGTGGCTTTGCTGGGGCAAGCGAAGAACCGCACCAGCAGCTCAAAGGAGAACCAGATGATGCACAGGGTCTCCACCACGAAGAAGGGATCCGAGAAGCTGGAGGCCCCCGCGGGGGCCCCCGACGTGCTGTTGCCGGCTGCCTCGAAGGCGTCCTGCGACAGCGAGGCCGGGTAGTCCTTCTCATCGCGGAACTCGGGTAGCGTCTCCAGGCAGAAGATAACAATGGAGATGAGGATGACGAGCACGGACACGATGGCGATGCCCCGGGCCGGCCCGGAGCTCTCGGGGTACTCGAAGAGCAGCCACACCTGGCGCTGGAAGTCGCGGCGGGGCAGGGGCCGCTCCTCTTCCCGCAGGAAGCCCTCGTCCTCGCGGAACTTCTCCATGGCTTCCTCGCCCAGCTGGTAGAAGCGGATCTCCTCGGAGAAGATGTCGATGGGCACGTTGACGGGCCGGCGGATGCGGCCCCCAGACTGATAGTAGTAGAGGATGGCGTCGAAGCTGGGCCGGTTGCGGTCGAAGAAGTACTCGTTGCGGAGCGGGTCGAAGTACCTCATGCGCCGCTTGGGGTCGCCCAGCAGCGTCTCCGGGAACTGGCAGAGGGTCTTGAGCTGCGTCTCGAAGCGCAGCCCGGAGATGTTGATGACCACGCGCTCCCCGCAGCAGTCCTGCTCGCCGGCGGCCGGCAGCGCGGGCGGCAGCGGCTCGTAGCGGTCGCAGCCGCCGCCGCCACAGCCGCCCTGAGGCGGGCCCCCGCCGCCGTCGGCCGCCTCCGGCTCCGGCAGGTGGTCCGCGGGCACCACGGTCATGTCGGGCGGCAGCTCCGGGCCTGCGGCGGGCTCGGCGTAGCCGGGGTTCACCAGGTTGTCGGCGCCGCCGCCGTTCGCTGGGTGCTGGGGAGGGCAGGCGCGGTGAGGGGCGGAGGGCGGCAGCGGCGAGCGCAGGAGGCTGAGGTGCTCGTCCATGTGGCGGGGACTAGGCGGCTGCAGGGCCGCGCCGCTCCTCCTCGCGCTCCCCGCCCCTTCGCCGCCTCCGCCCCCGAGCCGAGCCCGCTGCCTGTTGCTGCCGCGGCCGCGAGGCTCCGTCTGGGTCTGGCGCGCTCCGCCAGGCTCTTCCACAGAGACGCCTCCTCACCCCTCCTCACCCCTCCTCCTCGTTCCCCTCCGCCCCCTCCCCCGCGGGGCGCGCGCCCGCCCCTCCGCGTCCCCTCAGCATTCCCGCCCACCGCGCGGGCGCGCGCCCCTCTCTGCGGGGAGTCGCCGGGCCTGCCACTCACAGCCGCCTTCCTGGCCTCTGTGTCCCCGGAGCCGTCTCATTTTGCACCTCGGCGGCCCCCCGGAACTCCTGCCCTGCTGAGCCGGCCCGGGCCCCCGGGCTTGGCCCGCTTGTGGTCGGCGCCCCTCTCCTCCAGCCATGTGGCGGCGTCCCAGTCGCCGGGCTTCTCGACCCGCGCGGGGCCCCACACCTCGGCCCGCGCGCCGGGCGCGCTCTAGCCGCGGCCCTGTGAGCGCCGGCCTCGGGGCCTCCACACCCCCCTGGGCCCCCCGGGCTAGGCGGGTTCCGCGGGGCGCGGGTAGCAGAAAGCGGAGGCAGGTGAAGAGCGAGGACGAAGAGGGGCTCCGGGCCGGGGCCTGCAATTGCTGCGGAGCGGGGCGTGGCAGGCCAGGTGGGCGCCCAGGACAAGAGAGCGGCGAGCCTGGTGCCAGCGTCCCGGCTCACTTGAAGATCGAGGGCCGCCGAGACCCGAGGTGGTGCTGATGCGGGTCTCTAAATGTTTAAATTGAGCTCTGGCTTGGATGAGAAGCTCAACTAAGTAGTGGGTGCTGATGGGTTTCACATCCGCAGTCTGAAGAAAATGGGTTGTTAGAAGCGTTCAGAGACCTGGCTGTTTTAGCGAATGGTCAAGCTGATTTTCGTAGCTGAGATTTCAGCCACTGGAAAGAGTCAAGGACCAAGTTTCTGGTTGGGATTAAGGCCTGGTGTTTACGGCACACAGAGATCTCCTGTGGGCGGGAAAATAAGAGGAAAAATGGAAAAGGAAGTTCACCACGTCTAATTTGTGTGATTAGAAGGTTCGACTTTATGACTTAAGTCAGCCATGAGGAGGGACGGGAGCAGGACCTGTACCTAGACTCTCTGCTTAGTATTTCAGTGCTGCCCTTGTGGCGGGGATGTGCCCCACTCTGCTTGTTAAACTGGGAGAACATCGATTCAGCAACTCATCCCTCTGTTGCTTGATTTGGGCCCAGAGATAACTTACATTGATCCCCTTTGAACTTAAACTATTTCTCCAAATTGTTGTGATCACTTTGGACACTGTTTCCAGAAATTTTAGCAATCTAATATAACTCAACCCTAGGATTGAAAAAGTCTTTTTTATTGTGTCATTCAAATCATTTACAAAAGAGGAATTACTGTCTAGACAACTCATACCCATCCAAAGTAGCTGCCAATTCAATTTGGAGTAAGTGATTTCTGTTCGTTACTTCCCACCACCACTCCCAACCATGAGGTTCTCCAGGGCAGAGACTAGGCCTTACCCAATTTATATTCCTAGCAACCACCAAAATGCTGTGTAAATAGTGGAAACTCAGTATGTATTTGTTGAATTGAGTTTCCCCACAAGTGGCTCTTTGCATTTCTATCTGCTTTAGAATGTCAACATTTCTTCTTTTTGAGCCGAGGATCCTACTGGGGTTCCTAGGATGAGTGAGGGGAAACTGAGCTCACAATAGTGTACATACATTGCTCAGTTATTCCACAGGGTCTCTACCTCTGGCTTCTCTGGGCACAGCACACACACATGTTCCTTACTGTCCCTTCATCTTCCATCTCACCTCCAGGTCAGTACCAGGCACCACTGTCAGATGGTAAAACTGGGTGACCAGGTAAAACACTCTGTCTCACGAAACTCCAGAATACTGTTTTGTGTGATAGCCACTTCATTATTTTACATATATTTTTTGAGCTGGTGATTAGGGTAGCAGTATAATCGATCATTCATATATTTAAATCTTGGAATGAGATAGACTGCTTTGCTGCCAGGATAGCTCAGAGAAAGGCAAAGACCCTATTTTTAAAGACCAAATGTTTCATGCACTTTTATGTCTGACTTAGAAAGTGATTTATTCCTCCTTTTGCAGGAATTAGTACTGAAATTAATATTAATCAATGGCTAGGAAGACTAGAGCAGAGGATGGTCCTGTGATAAATGGTCACAAGCTTCTCCCTGCTGTGAAGTATCTCTACTTCAGAAATGGCTATTTCCATTCCTTTCATATATTTGCCTGGTCTGGAAGATTCTGATTATAAGCTTCTTAGGACAGTCCTTACTTTCTATTTGAGGCCCAGAGAAGTTTTGCAGTTTGTTCAAGCTCACATAGCTGGTTAGTGGCAGAGTTGGGCCTAAAATCTTGGACTATTTTCAAATCCAGTGTTTGCTTTACTGTATCACACTGTGCAACTCTTATGCTGATCACTGGGAGTACTTAATAAATACTAGATTTCTAACAGCAGCCTATTTGCTTCTGATTGCTGACTAGTTCACTTCAATTCATACTTATTTTAACTGAAAACCACTGCCTTCTGATGGCTAGTCTATTGTCTGTAGGAAATGAGTTGGTGGGCACATTCCAGCCCTGCTGGACAGCAGAACCCATCACAACAAATCAATGTCAAAAATGGCACTTCAGGAGGAACACATACCATTTATTTGGTACCCCCCAGTGGAGTAGCTCAAAGTGACTTGAAAATGTCTTATTAATCCTCATGACACCCCTGTGAGATAATAATAATATTATTATAATGTTTAAACACATAGAATGTGGCAAAGCCCACAGCTTCTCCAAGCATGTGCAGGATTTCTTCATATTTCAGTTTTCAACATTAGAGCCTGAGTAAAACCATCAGGTTTTCAAACAGTAAGGGTAAATCTTGGTGTTTGGTCTTTCTATGTTGCTCTAGGCATAGCTTGCGTTTCTTACTGACCGCAGCAGTACTAGAAATAGCTCACTAGTTGTTTGCCAGATGGTAAACAGCATCTGGGATTAGCCCAAGGCAGGCCTAGAGATCCTAATCCACAATTGTAGACAAATAGGAGAAAGCATCTACTATGTGCAAGGCATTGTTCTAGTTACTGTGGGGGTATGAAGTTTAAACATAGACCTTGCCCTCAGTGGGCTTACATAGAGTTGAGAAGATAGGAGATAAATCCCTGCAAATTTTTACCATGCTATTAGTTAACGATGTATGACAATAGTTCCAGAAATGTTACAAGACACCTTGTGATTATTCTGTCTGTTCTAGTCAAGGTGGCTGTCTGGCTGTTTCTCAGTCATACCAAGCTAGTTCCTAGATCAGGGCCTTTGTACTTACTCTTTCGTCTGCCTGAAACGTTCTTTCTCCAGATTTTCACGTGGCTCTATCACTTTTAGGCCTCCAGTCAAAATGTTATAGTGCTTCATCCAAGTTGCCTTCCCTGACCACAACCACCTGATTTCAAATAGTTCTCCCCACCGCCCCCCCAACACTTGGTCATTTTATAACCTCTTACCTGCTTTATTTTTTCTCATTGCATTTATTTACTTGCAATTATATTTTATGTTTATTTGGGTACTTGCTTATTGACTGTCTCCTGAACTAAAACATAAACTCTCTGATGTCAGGGTTTTGACTTTTTCACTTCTGTATGCCCCAAATCTAGAATAGTACCTGGCATGTAGTAAATGCTTAATGTGTTAATATATTGAATAGAAGAAAGAAAAGGTGCAGAATGAACACACAAGGAATATTCAGGTACAGTTTTTGTGAGTAGAGGTGTTATTTTGAAGAGTCCTGTTCTATTTTATAGAAGCAGCTGGGCTGTGCAGATATGTAAGGATTGTTTTTTAAGTGCCACTTCCTCCCTTTTTCTCTACCTTCCCTTCTCCCCACCACCCTAAATGAGTCTATCCTGCACTCCAGAATTATACTTTTAACTTCTCCCTTGATATTCTTCCTGCGGATACCCAAACTTAATAACACTGAACTCATTATCTTTCTCCCCAAACTTGCTTTTCTTCCTGTTTTTCTTTTTTTGTGCTAGAATGCAGAGTCACCCCTGCATCCTTCCCCTGCCTCCACACCCAGTCGTCACTAAGTGCTTTCCATTCCCCCTCCAAATCCATCTCAGTTCTGTTTGTACTTCTCCATTCTCACTGCCACTGTCCCAGTTCAGGCTGCCATGATAGTTTCGTAACAGGCTCCCTGCTTTTAGTCTCTCTTTTATGTATTTCATCCTCTAGGTTGTAGCTGAGTTATTTTTGTAGAACTTGGATTTGATCACATTGCTCTTCAGTGCTGCCCTGTTGTCAAACCCTGGCCCTGGCCTGTCATTCTGGCAGCATCTCCACACCACTTGCTGGTCCCGGGACAGGTCATCCACTTACACACTGCTAAGCTTTTGCTCATACTAGCTGCTCGTGCTCTAGCTCGCTGGGTATTCCTTCCACCTTTTTCACACTAGTGAATTAAATCTTCAAGTCCCTAAAGGTCACTTCTTTTGAGACCCTCATCCTCCCTGTGAGCCATGATTCAAGAAAACTCAATAAAATTGATTATAAATGAATTCAGTGATACTCTTTCCCATCAGAGCTCCTATAGCATTTTGTTTACAGACCCATTAGAGAGCTTTATTGTACTATATTTAGGTGTATATGATATGGTCTGTCTCCCTATGAGAATATGAACTCTATAATGCTAATAGCTAACTTGTTAAGCAGTGAATAATACACAGTACTAAGCTAGGCATGGTGCTAAGCACTTTATACGCAGTAACCTCCAACAGCCCTTTAAGGAAGGTAATAGTACCGTTACACTATTCCACAGATGGAGAAACTGAGTGCAGGGCAGTAAAGTCACTAGTGCAAGATCATACAGCCAGGAAATAGTAAAACCAGGATTCAAACTGAGAAGTTCACATTCTCAAGCCCTACTGTAGGCTACCTCTGAGAGGATTAGAGTCCTTACCTTATTCATGTTGGTATTTCCAGTCTCCAATATTGTGTTGCTATATAATAAATGCTTTTCAAATAGTATAATAGAATAAAAACGATTATGAAGCATGAATACTTATTTACTAAAAAACTGATAGG